GTAAATAACACAACTTCGAGTTGTTTCATTAACAAAGTTCAATCAAGGCATGACTAGGCATGAATACTTCGACAGGAAATTTGAGCTACTATTATTATTTTGCAACAAAACATAAAACTCCGTTCTGTTAGGCCAAACGTTTTTGACAGTTAGGGGTATACAATTAAATGCAATCTTTAATTTCAGGAAGAAACGATCGATCTCTGAGAGAATTCTCTCAGTAATGGCCTGAAATGGTTAATTCTATATCCTACGCTTGCATAGTTATAAAAGTATCTTTACAAATTGACAAGCATACATTATAGACTTTTTCAAACATCAAAACGAATTCGAGTCTCTAACAAGACTTATGAACGGTTCGTAAGGTAAAATGGCGTCAAAGCCAATTATAAGCAAGAAACGTATTTTCATTTTTTTAAATTAGTCTGACCGTGGGCTGTGGATAAATTGTTACTGTAGAAATAAAGAATATAGACAGCAGCTTATGCAACGTTTCTAGTTCTTCCTGTTCGATAACATATCCGTAATAATAACTGTGACTTTTTGAATCAGCTTTGAGAGTATTCAATCAAATTTTAGCTCAAGAGAGATCTAACTCCATGGACAACAAAGTTCTTGTCTGATTGTCTCCTTCACTGCTTGTCTCACCTCACTAATCTTCCAGCAGTAAAGAAACGGATTTAATGTTGAGTTGAAGTAAATTAAGATAATTGCTATTTCCCACAAGACGACCAAGTGTGATGAATATGTTTTGCTATGGGTGATCACAATTTCCACCAAACAATATGGCAAATAACAAACAACTATTGCTAACTGCACCCACAGTGCACCGTTCACTGCCTTTCTGTATCTCGCCATGTTAAGTGCATTTGGTAGCCGCGGATGTTGTTGAACAGGATCGTGCATTTTAGCCTGATGTTGACTGAGTGTGTGGAAAATCTTGCTGTACGAGGCGACCGAGATAACAAGGCAAGAAGGTATTATTATACGGCCATACCATAATGTTATATGGTAGTTTAAAATGAAGCACAAAGCAGCGACGACAGATACAACCCAAAAGGTAACTACAGTAATATATGTGCGCTTCAAAGTAACAATTTGTTTGTATCTTAGCCCCAACAACAGGGCCAGGAGTCTGTCCACACTTATGGCCGTTATCGTCAACAAAGACACCAAACACAAGGCATAGCCTGTGATGTGGCCTGCGTCATATGCGAATAGACAAAGACTCCACAGTTCACCATCCACGTACATCCAGAGAGTAGCGTGAGGAAGTTGCGTAACAAGACAACTCGTCAGGTCAGTTGTCGCCAAACAACGATACAAAAGTTTGGATGGCGGATGGAGTGAAGATTCCTTGTGAAGGGCAACCAGGATGAGAGAATTCTCAACAAATGCCGTGATGGCGAGGAGAATGTTAACTGCTGCGAAAGGAAGTGTTTCTTGCTTTAACCCACCCACCAGCGAGGGGGAACATAGCCGTTCCCCGAATGTTTTCGTTTGTATTCCACCTAACGTAAAATTTGTTTTCGACATAACTCTGTATTCGTTTCCTTTTTTCTTATAGGTTATCTGTGATCGCAGCAAGAAATATTTCGTCTAAACAGCACACGCCAGCCACGATCGCTGAAACCTTACTCACCTCAGTTATAATCACATGAGGACTTCCTCACCAACGTTTCCTCATTTAAAACGCGTCAGAAAATTGCTTATAGAGTTAAAAGGAAGGAAGCGGAATAAATGAGGTGCCTCCGGTATGAATTGATAATAAAAGGCAAATATGGAGACATCTGTACTATAAAATTTTTTCGGTGCGAAAACAATTCCTCTTTACCTGGATGAATTTTCATTGATAGAGTGCTAATTGAGTGTCCAGATCATCTGTGTGAAGTTGAGACTTGAGTCATCATGGCAAACTGGAAATAAAAAGTTTAAGCTGGCCACTTTACTTGGTTGAGGAATAAGTTGAATAAGTCACAATCTCTAAATGCTCATTAACAATTGGTTCATACGTCAGCGTGCGTTCATCGAGATATGAAGCACGCGGGAAGTTTGGAGAGTAAGAAAGATGCGCAAGAGTTTTAGCTTCTTGCTTCTTTCTGTGCTTCATATCTCGATGAACGCACAGCTGACGTATGAACCAATTGTTTTATAACATTTTCAACCCGATGAAAATTTTTTTCTCGAGGGATTTGTTTGCTGACGTCATGAGCGTGCACAATAGGAATATGAAGCACGCTCGCGCAATTGAATTTGATTAGACAAATTTACTAGCTATGTTGTAAAAATTATTGAAATTGAGAATTGGGTACACATGAAAACTTCTCATAAAATAACTATGTTTAAGGGGAAAGGGAATTAAAGACGAAAAGATACAACTAATATAAAAAAAATTATGTAAAATAAAGGATCGCTTTATATCCAGTTTGTAGCTGGTGTATCTTTAAATTGTCCTTAAGTTTTATTGATTCTTTGTCTTTCGCTTCCGAGCAATTAACTGTCCCTAACTTTAACTCCTTGTTTTGTAAAGCTTTTTTTAAATTCAAAATTGACAACAAACTAAGAGAATATTTTCTCCTAATTGTCGAACCTTAACAAAACGACGGCAAATTTAAGTGTATTGACCATTTCAACATTTAAAAAAAGTGACAATTATAGCCAATGTCTTTGTGTTTGCCGAGGGACTTAACCCTAAATGCTAATTTGAAGTAAAAATCAATTTACATCTACTGGAGCAAACAGCTGTTTGCGATCAGTATGTTCAATGACTAATTCTAAATGAGTTAAAGCTATTGAGTAAAACCTTTATCTGATCATTATTTAGGAAGTAAGGTTTCGGTGATAGTCAATGGATTTGTGCTGTGTTGACGAAATACAGTGGAACCCGGTTAATACGGACACCAAGGGGTGTCCGTATTAAGTATTCGTATTCCGGGTGTCCGTATTAAGTGGGCTCTCAGAGAAAACGTCAGGGACGCATGTTTTATCGATATAAAGACCAAAGCAGACAGTTTTACGAGAAAAGGTTGTTTAATTTCTTAACTGTAAAAGTAACAAGTTCAGTCTCAGAGTAAAATCTTTTAAGTGCCGCTCTCGCTAAGAGCGGTCCTCTCGACTTCCCGTCGGAAAAAAATTCTCTTTTATTTTTTGCCCATGAAAAGGGTTTAGGACAAATGTTTCAAAAATAGTTTAGTTGCTCTCCAATGCTCTTTTTTTGCGTCGCCACAAGTCAAAAATGATTTTCGGCCAGACCACCCCTGTGGACAGCGATCGAAAGTGTAAATTTCAAATATTTTGTCCAGCGCGTAGCGACTACAACAATGTAGGTCACGGAATTCTATCTTGCTACAAGTTACAAGATGTATTCAGTTAGTTCACAGATAAAATATGGAAACTTCAGCTAAAATGTTTTTCATACCAGCGTGATCAGAGGAGACCCTTCTCTTCGACCTTAACTTGCATATCAAAAATTCACTACTTTGTACGAAAGAATTCTCAAAATGCAGCCGTTAATCGGGCTGAATAAGCATATCAGTACATAGTTTATACACCAATGAGGTCATGGATTGCCTCAAACCCGCGGGTATACCTCTAGCTTCCATCCACCAACTTCTTAAAAACAACGCAAATCCATGTGTTTGCTCTATTGCGCTGGTGCCAAAGATCACTTGCATGATTCTTAAAATTGACAAAGATCCCCTTTTGACCGTTCAAACTTCGTTCGTTTATCTTCTACGTTGAGGATTTTAGGTTTTCACAGCAACTGAATGGAGATTAGATGTCGAGTTGTCCTAAAAGTAGGCAAAGGTGATCGGAAGGCGCCTTCTTGATAATTTACGTTGAAATATCAGGTCATGAACTACGCACAGTGTAGATAAGATCAAACTTAAAGAATAAAATTTGGTACTCTTAATTCAAAACATGCGTATCGCTAATGCGTTCGAACTGGCATCCTGTCGGATGTTTAATGTCTGGAGAGAAGTCGTTTTTGAACCTTTTCCGCGATAGCCGAACACCGATTCGTTACATTAACTAATTTTGGTTTCAATTTGTAGAACCCGCGAAACAGGCCATACGGGAAGGGGAAAATTTGCACAATCCCGTCACGCAATATATCAAGCTGGGTTTGTCGAGTTGATTTTGATGGTCGTAGGAAAATGTCGAGTTTGTCGCTCAAAAACGCTGTGGTCCATAAGAGCGTAACATCAATAGTGGTGGAAACAAATCTGCGGAAAGGAGAGTTAGTTCATCGGGTTCCGCATACTAAATCTCGGGAGAAACTGCAAGAATTATTTCAGAGTGTATGCGTGTTGTTTTGTAAATATAAACACTGTAACTTATTTTAACTTGTTTTTGTGTCCTTTTAAGCAACGCGATATGTCTGTTATGACCAGAGTGCCAAATTTTATTCTTTAATTTTGATCTACTCCACACTGTGCGTAGTTCCTGACCTGATATTTCAACGTAAATTACCGAGAAGACGCCTTCCGATCACCTTTGCCTTCTTTGTAAGTCACGCAAGCGCGCAAGCGTTACGTCCGATCACGTTTTCGAAACGTTTTAGGACAGCTCGGCATGTAATCTCCATTCAGCAGCTGTGAAAACTTAAAATCTTGCATCAACAATGAATTCACCTGCACCAGTTCACTATCTGCTAGTTCCTGGAATGGATCAAATTCTTGGTGTTCCTCAGGAAATGAAACTAGAGATTCGTCTTCCAAAAGATAACCTGCCTTTATAAAGCATTTCTTGATAGTCGATTCTGACACGTTTTCCCCGGCTTGAGCAATCCACCTAATGGCTTGGAGTAATTCCACAGTCGCAGTCATCTATTTTGCTGAAGACATGTGTCAGCATCAGTTTCATGTATTTTAGCTTGAATGTTTGAATTATTCCAAGATAAAGAGGCTGGAGTCTGAATTTACATTTTGGTGGAAAAAACACAATCTTGATATGATCGTATTTGCCTTTCATATCTGGAGGATGGCAAGGGGCATTGTCTAAAAATAAAATAACATTCCTTCGCTCCGTGCTAATTTCCGGTTAAGCTTGAATAGCACGTCATCTAGGATGTTAAAATCCATCCAGGCTTTAGGCTGTCTGAAGTATGAGCAGGGTAGTTGAGACGTATCCCTGATTGTTCTGAAGCAACGCGGATTTTTTGACTTGCCGATAACAATCGATTTTCCTCTACCGCCCACAGAAAATGTGCACGTTACTCTTTCTTTGGATTTTTTCCCTCCAGTACACTGCTTTGATACCTCGGCTAGAGATCTGTTTGGAAGTGCTCGAAAAAATTGACCTGTTTCGTCCTTGTTGAAGATGTTCTCTGGGGAGTAGCCGCTCAAGATATTTGGTAAGCGCTCTTGCCAAGATGTTACAATTTCCTCCCTAACGCCTCCTGCCTCACCACTTATAACTTTGCTTCTAATGTTAAACCTTTTCTTGAATCTGTCGAGCCATCCGTTAGACATTGTGAATTCTGAGTCTCCAAGCTCTCCACTAGGTCGTTTGGCTTTTCCTTGCAGCATTGGTCCGGTCAGGGGAATATTCTTGATTGTTGCCTTTTGCTACCACTCATACGTTACCTCGTCTATATTTTGCGTTTGTGATGCTCTAGCTCGTTTTGAGAGTACATTCTTGCTTGAAATAAAAGCACTTTCAATTGTAATTAGCATACTGTACTTCTCACCTCACACTACGGAGATCAGCATATTATGTAGCATATGTAGTGTGTCAACTAACACTGAGAGTATGAAAAGTATGAGTGACAACCGAATTCTAAAAAATTTCTTCCTGGATAAGAGGATTTCATGTTTACAAGGACTGGTGGACTCCTACGAGCGGTGAAATTTTACTTTTGCTACCAAAGCCGGAAAATTCCGAGGACAAAAACGCAGTCGCCGTGTTGAAAGAAAGTCGTGTTAGAGAACACATTCCATTTCACCTTGCGAACACCAGAAACCTCGACCAGCACAAACATTTGCATATTGAAGTTATAAGAATTTTTTCCCATACAACAGTTTGACATCTGAGAAATTTGATAGAATAAATGTTTATTTTCCAGTCAATTCTGTTTTCTTTAGTATGTCATCCAAGTGAATGATTTTTCAACGAATAACTTCCTGATCTGGTCTCCATTGTACACATACTATTTACTACAGCCTTCTAGGATAAATCCATTTTCAAAAACTAACATTCTTCATGCAACCACAATAGGTGAACATTTACACCAATTCGAATCTAGATATGCATATAATATACAGCAGTATATTGGTAAACAAGGGTCTCCAAAGCCTGTCTCTAGTTGTGTTTTCTGTTCACTGCGGACACACTTGTGATTAAAATGTCATTCAAAAACCGTGAAGGGCCAAAAGTCACAATCCTTTCGAACTCAAGAACTTTTACAAATCGCTTTTTATGTCTGAGGTTTCATACTTCTTGTAACGGAAACATCACTATAAATGGAACATTTAAGGTTAAAAAATCAGAACAAAGGGTAAAAGTAAGAAATATCTATGTAGTAACGGTTATTTCGATTACCTCCGGAAAGTTTTTTTGAATTCGAGCATAAAGAAGCTTTCTTGATGTGCAAGAATAAATATTTAAACGGACACTGAGATGATCTTTCCTGGGGCAAACAAGACATCTTTCTTGCTTAATGAGAAGATCCTTTTCAGCAACAGAATTATTCACTATTTTGCAGGAGTTAGAGGGATAGCTCTGTTTACAATACATACATATGGGTCCTGAATGTCCTCCAAATAAAGCAGACGTAATTGTGCGCATCTGAGCTTTGGAGAATCCTTGAATTCTACAAGATAACTGACACTCATCATGGGGAACTGCACACTCTCTGGCTTCTAACTTGTTCTCTAATGCATGCATGCATGCATAATATTATCTAGCTGCTAATCTTGATCCTTTATTTCTCTACCAATAATCAATCGTAGCTCTTGAGGCAGCTTGTTCATAATAATGAGAGTAAACTTCCATAGGAGCTTGAGGGGATTCCTAGTGACTTAAGGCTTCTTACCTGAGATTCTAAAGTGTCATATAGTTGCTTTAGCTTTCTTGTGTCTTGATCAGTCACAGGGCTAACATTAAGAAGAATATCCATATGGGGATTGATGATTTTTTGCTTATTTCCAAATCTCTTATTAAAGAGCACAATTGCTTCATAATTTGATGCAGTGAAAGACAGGTCAGAAATGGTATCAACAGCTGGTTTCCTTTGGAGGAAGTTCAAATAATTTAACTTTTCAACAGGAGCCAATGAAGGATTCTTATGAATAGAAGACTCGGAAGCATCTCAGAAGGTGGGCCATGATCTAACTTCTCCACCAAATTTTCTCAAGTCTAGTTTAGGTAATTTAACTCAAAGAACTGTTTCTTGAGTAAGTAAGCTTAAATATAGTGTTGGATTAGGAGATTCAACAAGATTATTCAAGGGTTCAACATTTCCAGCAGCTACAGGAAGGCTTACCGGAGATTCAACAGAGTCATTAGACAGTAAGAAGTCACTGGTAACAACTTTATATGGGCTTAGCGGTGTCTCATCCTTTGGTGCGTCCACGCTCTTTGTGGGGGTCCTCAAATTTTCTAGAAAATTATCAATTCCAGTGATGGTGAGCTGAGTTAATTTATTTAGGAGATCTGCTTCCCAAATTTCATCTTCAATTTCCTCTTCTTCCACAATTGACAGGATTTCATCGTCCACAACTTTAAGGGTTTCCGACTAGACATGTAGGGATTGCTTTTACTGGTAAACGTTTGACACGTATAGGGCAAACACTTCTTTGTTCTCGTCCAAATTAACATCGCTGCAAGAGGCATCCAGTCGTTCATTGACAGCATAAGCAACACGGTTGATGGTTCTGTGCCCTTCACGTGCAGCTTTTTTCCTTGAGATGGCTTTCACTTTGGGTGGCATCACATGCACCTTTAAAATAGTCAACTCGTTGACAAATGAAGAATCCACACCATATGCTCGTAAACAAGAATTGCCTGGTCTAAGGATAAACCCAACAAGAATTATCACCAACAAAATAATCCGGTTCTGAGTGACCATAGAAGAGAAGGTTATGATCTATAGGGCGTAAGTCCTGGTTCTTGAAAGAGTCAAAGTATTTAAAGGTTCTCACATCAATTAATATCAACCACACAGAGGTTTATTTCAGAACAAAGAAACAAATATGCTAAAGTGGCATGATTGCAAATGTCATGTTGCACGTGAACCAATGTCACACTATAACGCTATACAAGTCTAACAATGACAGATCTCATTACACTTTCAAAACCTTTCTACCTATTGAAATGATTTGGCAGTTTCAGATCAATAAAGCAGGTAGATGCAAATACTGTATTGCGGTGGGATACATGTTGCTGAAGATCTTGAACCACTCACAAACCTTATGAAGTCATCGGGATCATATGGGCTGCTATTTCAAATGAAGGTGTTAAGCATCTGAAACACTCTTAGCACGTTCTTCCTCAGTGGTAGCAAAGTTATACAAATGGCCACAGACTCATTGTTAACTTCTTTATGAACAAAACAATTTTCAAACAATTGCAGACTTCTTTGGATCTCATCCAAAAGACCTAGGATGGATAATTCTTCTCTAAACTGATCTAAAAGAGACTTTTTCCTGACCAGAATATTGTGCAACATCAGGGACTGCATAACATCAATCTTGCTGTTAGGCTACAAAACAGTTGAAAGGCAATCCGCAGTTAGTAAATTATAACTACGGGATGGTTATGATACCATTTGTATGAAGAAGTAATTTTGGTTTGTGGAAATCTCTACGTCATAATACATTTCTATTTCCATGTGTTTTCCAGCTAAAGGAATTTCATCATATCAAGAAATTAAAATAATTCATACACATAATTCTACTTACTAACATCCATTATTCTACTTTCTCCAGCCTCTGACATCAGTTGTAGGAAACCAGACTCAGCTGTGATAGCTGGCAGTTCATTGTCAGGTGCATGGGTGATCTGAGGGTTGATGAAGAATAAAGTTTACAAAGTTTAACACTACACATGTTACTTTATTACAACAATTATAAAGGATTCAATGTGTATTTTGCATTCTTTGATACAACCTACATTGTAAGTAGCCTCTAATTAGCCTCACCATCAATATCTGTAACATCTGGTGAGCAAGTACACATTCCCTGGTATGTGAGGCAATATTCATTGATAATTTTCACGAAGGCAAAATAATAAGGAAAGCTCTACTGGAAAAACTTTTAATTAATTATTAAATCTAGATAAACTTAATTTTTCTGTTAAACTAAACGTATACCCTTGTGATATATTCCACAAGATCATGATTATCAACATCTGCACATGATGCAGTAGACGGTTGAGGCAAGACAAGGGAAACCTGGGCTGCTGCACAAAGCTATGGGCAATCATCTTTCCAAGAGTCTGAAAAACCCATTAACAACAAATTAATTGCTGAAAACTGGCAGCCTCTTTCATTTCCCATAAATATGCTCTTGATCACTTCACTGCTGGCTAGTGCATGAAACACATTGCTAAAAACCTGGAGGAAAACACCACCATTGTCAATCGCTGGTTGTGCCTTTTTGTAAACACATTTAGGGATTCATGGTTCAAAGTCTGCACATTTGTAATAACTATATGCATCCATCACCTCATCCTCTGGATCAACCTTCAACTTTTCATGCATTCCCCTTGACTTCATTTTAATTCTCGACTTTTGCAAAACAAAAGAAAGGCTCCTAACAGTCTGAGGTGGGTTTTTCTTCAGTTTCACTATTACTCTGATCACCAGTACAGTTTCTTGGGTTAAAATTATGATCAGCTTCACCATATTGCAACAAAACATTAACAGCAGTGTTCATGGATGCACAGGTTATGACTCCATTTCTTACAATTTCTCAAGGAATCCTTGGGAACATCATTAATAGTTCATCTAACCTTTGTTGTTCCAGCGGTGAGGGTCTCAACAAATCATTATCGTTGTCATCATGAAAAGAGGGTCCAGCAGAAGGAAGTGAGGGTCGTCGGCTTGCGCAAGTTCTTGGGCAGTAGCACCATTGGTATTACACAAGTAAACATTTGGATAAACCTGACAAGATGTAGATGCACTGCTTTCAGATGTAGTAGCAATTGCAATATTCTCCTGACATTTGTCATCAGTTTCACCTGAAGCTTTTTCATTAATGTGAGCTTTCCATCGAACATACAGTCTTGCGCTTCTACATAAATGTTTGACATGGTTACTGGAGTAATAATAACATTGTGCTCTCTCTTCACAAACTCAAAATCATACATATCATCGGTGGGATATGGTTTTTCTATCACTGCCTGTAGTTCACCTCTGATTTCCTCTAAATTATTGTCACTCTTTAGGTTGATTTCAGCCCTCACTAGGATAGAATCTTCAGTAAGAGAATTCTCCCAGTCACAACTAACATCTTCTGGTCCCTCCAGGAGCCAAACAGTCTTGGGAATGGACTGGACATTCTTAGACTTTTCTTGTTTTAACTTCTTT